TTTTTGGATGAATCCAATGTAAACTAAGACTGTTCAAACCTCACCCCCTATTGTCTTAACTAAGATGATTCATTCAGTGTGTTCCCTACCTCCTTTCACAAAGAATTTGTAAGGGCTTAAAAGGCAGACACGATAAAACCAAACAATAGAAATATGCAAAAAGTTATGACTAAGGACAATATTTATAAGAATGGAAAGAAAATAGAATAAAGATCTGCTGGGAAACTAACAGAAACCACGTTTCACATTATCCATAAGGATCATGTACCAGGTCCTTGGAGCAGTTCCTCCCAACAGCTCAAGACACGGTTTACCTCCTGATACAAACGGAAACTTATACTTGAACAGCCACTGGAGTGAACGAAGGGGTTGCCTGGGCCCAGATGACCGGCTCCCCCGTGCCCAGCTTAGGGGATCTTCCCGTGTGCTGACATACAGGTTGGGAAGTTCTGCCTTAGAGAAAGCAAAGGGTTTCTGACCCTTGTATCTAAAAAATATTCCCCTTTAATGCTTCTCCAAAGGGCATAGAGCATTATGATAGACCGTTACTTACAAACAGCCTAAAGCATTTCCTCTGAGTCCTCAGAGGATAAACATTAAATAATCATCACACGCTGTGGGCACCAGGAATGGAGGTGTTTCTGTACAGGACTGACACAAAGTGGGACAGCTCCAAACGCAGACGAACGTGACTACAGACCCTGTGTGCTGCTGGCTGTGAGCGGCCTTTCTGTCGGCCAGGGACGCGGGCAGTTCAAAATTTTGTTTTTCAGCAAGGACTAGAGTTTCTATACTTGAAAAGTTAGCGGAGGAGATGGTAAAGGGGCCCATCCACATGTGAACGCTGGTGGGGGGTCCCAACCACGACTGCCCCCTGGGCACATGCCATCCCACAGGCCAAGGCAGAGAGCTGGAGATGACATTACCTGGTCCTTTCATTGCTCTGTTAGGTGTGCCTTTTATTGGAAATCATCTTTGAAAAACTGTCGTGTTTTTCTTTGGGGCCAAATTCATAAACACTTAGGAGTATAGTAGATTCCATCTACTGCTGTGGCAGCAGGGGATCCACAGAGGTCTTCCAACTGCCCGACACACCCCCATCCTGAGGCTCTGGCCCTCCCAGCCTCCACTACTCTCCATACCCTAGGGGGAAGGTCAGCAAAAAAGGCCCAGACGTGATAGCAATACTTCAGTTGAGTGAGAAGAATCTCCAGCGCCCGCCCCCCTGCTCCATGCCTGAGGGCTCTCTCCCCACTCCCCTGTCTGACTCCATGAGCAGAACCCAGCTGGCAAAGCGAATCTGAAATAATCCAACCACGCAAGTAGGAAGGCCTGTGCCTCTCATGCTGGTTCCCCCCTTCTGCGGTGAGACGCCAACGGAGCCTGGAACAACTCATAGCACTTATGGCTACAACTGAAATCTCAACTCTGTGCCCCCAGGAAGGCCACTTTCAGGCTTCCAAGGTCGGGCGTGTCTCAGTTGGGTGGGTTGTAACTTGACCTTGTCACAGGCAGTTAAGCAGCTGTTGAATGAACCGTCCAAAGAAATCAGGGAAAACAGGAAAAAATATTTGATAAGGAAACTAGAAAACTAGTCATCAATCACCCCAAATTCTCTACCAACGGCGGTGCCTTGAGGTGGGCTTTCCTCAGGGAGTGCCCTGGCCACGCGCCCGGGACACCGCCTCCCGCAGGACAGGAGTCGCCCGCCGCACCTCACACTGGGTACTCAGCCCGGGGCACTGTTTGGTGCGGCACAAACGTTTAAGACGTCTTGAATGAACCATCCACAGAAATTCCAGAAAACAGGATAAACTTTCCACCCTGCTTTCTTCCTTACGTGCCCTCACTCTCTGCAGGCTATTTTCAGCTCCACACCAAAGGGACACAGCTCAGTTCTGTCTCTAAAGATTAGGGATCCGGTAGAAGCTGGACAGACAGGGTTTGGGGGGCGGATACCAGGGCTGGGCCGAGACAGACACCTGAAGTCACAGGTAGCAGAAACCCACCGGCGGCCACGGGCGCGCACACCGTCAAGGGCGGGGGCGTCTCCTGGACTCAGAGGCAGAGGCCCGGCCAGGCCGCGGGGGATCAGGAGGGGGAGGAGGGGACCCCTCGGCCGCCACTCGCTCCTGTTTCTCTCGGTCCCGAGCCAGGCGGCCCTTCCTGCCTGCCTCGTGACCCCCTTTCGGAGGACGGGCTTTCTCGGTTTCTCTGTGCCCACAAATGCCCCACAGCTGTCAGGTTTGCATGCTCGCAGCTCAAGGGAGCAGCCTAGGCTGAGACGAGCATTTCCTACCCCAAATTCTAAGTTCCTAGGAAAATCAGACTGGGTCAGGAGCCAAGAGCCTTAACCGACAATTCCGCCTTCTGCCGGCTCCCTCCTGGAGGGCAGGCGCTGCTCTGAAGAGGCAGGGTCTGCGGACACCTCCAGAACACTGGCCCTGGCGCTGAGCATGAGGTGTCAGCCCCTCGCCTTCCTCCGTCGCCATCCCCCTGCGTCCACACAGCCTTACGCACTCTGCCATTCAGCTATTTCAGGCATGCTAACTGGCGTATTTCCTTATGCAGTTGAGATGCTGTCTCTTTCAAGTTAAACAAAAAACTCCTGCTCAGAGATCAGTTACTGGGTCATGTGACTGCGTAAGATTCTCAGGAACATAAAAGCCAATTTCTGACCAATGGTGAAGAACATAATACCCTTCTGTTCTTTCTCCTTCCCACGGTAGTGAAACAATACAACAAAAATTACAGAAATAATCTCGGTATGAGCCCACTCATGTGCACATCCTGGCGCCAAGCTCAGGAGCTGGAATACAGTGGGTGCACAGTAAACTCTGATGGACTAGAACGTGTACTCATGTCTGTGTTTACAAATCAACAGCATATATGCATGAGGCTTTTACATGGGTTCACATGAATGTGTACATGCAAGCAGAGCAGCATACACAGGCTGTAATGCAAAAAGACAATCTTCTCAAACTTTGAAGTGTATTCAAATCAATTAGGGATCTTATTAAAATGTAGATTCTGATTCAGTAGATCCAGCATGGAACCCAATCTACGCATTTCTAGAAAGTTCTCAGGTGACCCTGATGCTGCCGGTCCACACACCACATTTTAATAGCAAAGTAATGCCTTTTTGAGTCAGTACAGAAGAACGCCATAGGCAAAAATGCGCCAATAATTAAAAGGGTCCTCTTCTGAAAGATCACATCCAGTCATTCGAAAAATACATGAGAATGTGTACTAATCCTTATTTTCAGATTCAAGTCTTCAGTAAGTGCTCACTGAGCACCTATGCAGGTGCAGGGGCGACAGCAGCCTTGGTCATTCTTGCCAACAGCTTAACAAATGACGAGATGCAACTAGAGGCTTCTCTGTATTCTCAGTGACGTTCAAATGAAAAACACAGAGAACGACACCAAATGTGTAGGCGTGTGTCTGAGGAAGGGGTGAGGAGCGCCTGCTTAGGACCCTGGGTCTTCCTGAGGTTCCTATTAATGCTCATCTCAAGAAGCCACCACGGTCCCTTGCCGGCCATCCCAAGCCCTCGTCAATCTGCCCAGGCCTGCCTCCCCTTTGTCTTCACAGTTATGGGAATGTCAACTTCAGCTTGCTGGACCACATGCCTTCCCCATCTCTTCTCCTCAGATACCATGTCAAGTCTGATGAAGACGTAAGACCGTAGATGAGACTGGTTATACCACTCGAAAACCAGGGGGGAAAGCCCACCAGGGATCCCCTGCCCTTCCATTTGCCAAAGTCCTCAACCCTGCTGGGTTTAAAAAGATAGTTCACCCAAGGGCCTCTGCTGTATAACGGAGTCTGCTGGCGGTACGCAGGCAAGGGGTGAATGGTGCTCAGAGTCATAAGGAGTCTCTTCTGTACTAATGTCAGGGTGAAGATCCGATTTAGCTTCATGGTTATCATCTATCTACTACAGAATTTTAAAGACATGCAAAATCTCAGAAAATCACAGGAAAGCATCAGTTACATCCTTAACAATTCATTTGTTCATAAACAGGCAAAAATGTATAAGCTGTTATAGTATTCGTTTGCCAGAGGCATACATGTCATCACATTTGTGATTTAGCATGGATTTATTCTGCTTGTACGTCGTGGCACATACTTCTCAAACCGGGGTACTTGTACCAAGGGAGGTGTGCACTGAGCAAGCCAGAAGGAACATGAGCCCAGGGAGAAACTGGAGGGTTTTCCTGGGGTGTCCATTTTAATTAAGATTTGAAAGAAGGGGAGTAAGGGAAATATTTAATAATGTAAGTGATCATGAATTTAAATAATTATTTTACACTAAAATATTTGGAACAGGATAACCAAGCTTCACTGATTTTAATGATAAAGCACTAGACTAAAAAGAAGCTTCCTTTTCTGGGGACTCACTCTTCTCTCCCTGCAGGGGAACTTCTTCTTCCAGCCCAAGAGTCTAAAGAACAGTCATATCCTTTTAAAAAGTTTATTGTAAGGATCTTCTGTTTATCAGCACAAAGACATATTTCTCACAAAAGATCTTGGAGCAATGGGATTTCCTCCGAAGAACATTTCAATCCTAAGCAAATCCCTTGAAAGCTGAATGTCCAATTTTGAATAAAGTGTCTTGAATTTGAATAAATAATTTAAAAATATTGAAAGAACAATTCACAAATGTAATCACTGGACAAAATTTTGAATTATTTAAAGAAGTATTTTGCAAAAAAGTTAAACAGAAAGTCAGAAAAGAGGGAGGCTGCTGTGATCAGAAAGTCTGTGTGCTGTAGTTCTTCTCAATTCATTTTATTCAGAAACTATCAATATCGGCAATTTCAGAACAATTTTCTTATTTCACATACTGAGAGCTAAAATGATTTAATATTTACTTTCCATTATAATGATAATCCCAACCCTGAGGCATCTCTACTCAAGAAGAAAATACAGAGAAAGTAATCTGGAAAGGAAAGGGGGTTGAGGTCCACGTCTGTACAGGACAGAGAGATACTCACAAGGCATCATGTGGCATATGCTTGGCCAGTACTGTCCGCTGTGCCTCTTTAACCAAACTCGAACGGTCCTGCAGCAGAAGAACATGTGTAGGTCACTGTTGGGAGCAAACCTGTGGGCCTTTAGGCAGACTCGGTCACAAAAGCCTTAAGACAACAGCAACGTTTGAGTAAAGTCTTTCCTGTAAAGTCAGCAACAATGAATCCATCCACGCGTTAGAAACAAGTTTTCCCCTATTACCAAGAAACGCATTTAGTGAACTCCTAGGTTAGAGCTTGTGGTTAGGCTACCTCGCAACATGTGCTTTTTCTGTCCTTTG